GATGTGAATCGTACCCGATTGAACAGTGGAAATTCCTGTAGGATTTGGTTGTCGTTAATAACAAACAAACGCACGTTTGTATTATCTTGATTAATCCAATGAAACATATATTCTCTTTCTAAATATAGTAAGTTGTCCGTACCCACAGATTCTGATAAGTTATACTAGGACTCAGGAGTAGGCCTAGGCTCTAGGCCTACTAGACTACTACTACTAGGCCTACTCTAGGCCTCTTCTCTAGCCTAGGCCCCTACCCAAGGCCCTAGGCCTAGCCTACGCCCAGGCCTAGGCTAGCTACTGCCTGGCCTAGCTACTACCTACTACTAAGCTAGCCAATGCCTTGGCATATTCGTCTAAGAGACTAGACCTACCATAGAACGGTAGCTGGGCCTAGCTAGGCCTAGGAGGCCTATCATTGATCAAAACGTACAGTAGCAATGCCAATACTAAATAGGCCTAGGCCTATCACTCCTTGAAGTTACTCAAATCTAAACCAAATTAGGGCCCTAGGCCTAATATTCATTTGCTTAATTTTTTATAATAACTATATTAATCGTTAACATAACGATAGAGAAATTAAAGTCACTGAAAATTTGTTTTCTTTGGAGAATTATTATATAATATAATATAGCTGAGCCCGAGCGAGGGTGGCGCCATCTTTTTTGTTGTTACAGTGGAGCTACGTAACTGCAACGCGAGGAGATTTCATGCAAATCGGAAACTATCGCATGAGCCTAGCAAAACAGGTTAATTTCATGTTTTGAAAGCTAAACTTAAATGCCGTTTTTTTTTAATACATCGAAGGTACCTCAGACCTACTTATACAAACGCTTTTATTCTTTTCAGTCTATTGTGAGTTACAAAAACACATTTTTAGTCGGTAAATATTTCCAGTTGGCGATTTAGCCTGACCCTAGGTTGACGAAAAAAATTGGCCTTCGGAGGTATCATTTTAGTCGAGGTTCGCGTCATTTAGTTGTAGAGCTAGCCAAAGTTTGTTTTGAGAATACGAAATGACAATGTTTAGGTTTTAGCTCGAACTACAACTCAAGTTCGTTTTAAGAATGCTGGGGTAAGTCTTAAAAAATATTTTTCATGAATTGTTTCTCACAGTATAAATCATTCTCTTATGTCAGAATGCATGAAATTAATTATTTTATTTGTCAAATTTTACATATTTTAATTTTTCTTTGCGGGTCAATGCAGGTAAAAGGTCATTTGAATTTTCAGGTCATTGTGTATTAGAGCTACGTGACCAATGTGATTTGCAGTAAAAGTTTACAGTCAAGTTGTACACTATTTTGTAGCAGTTACAACAGTAACAGAAATACTTGGCAAAGAGTGACAGAAATCGCGTGGATGATACCTCAAAAACTAGCATTGAAAATCGCTAGGAAATTAGGTGCGCAGCATCGTAACTACTGCATAATACATTAGCTATATATAAGGATTAAGTTAAAGCCTAAATTTTGGCAAAATCTGCACAGAAATCGGCCCTTATTTTCCGAAATACACAGACGGATTTCTAGGCCTAATTTTTTCACCGAGGATCCCCGCTCAGGCCTCACTTTACAGTCTGGCATTGTGTGTTCGCATTGGAATTTTCTGATGAAAAAAGCAACTTCGTTTTGCTGTGCAACATTTATACAGTCCTGCCAAGGTTGTAAAAATAAGCATTGCAAGACACTTACACTCGACTACCATGACTGTGGCTGACTGGGGTTAATGATCTTACCATGACCTTTTAAGAAAGAGGCGAAGCCAGACACACCAAAGTGTTGTAGGTAATAATTGTTAATGTATTAGTATTTAAAAATTGTGCAGAAAACATGAAAATAGAAATTTTTCATGCAGTCTATTTCAGTTATGTTGCAGAATACAATTTTTTTTTTCAAGAGTATACTGTAAATTGAGTTTTTTTTTTTATCTTATAAAGTGACAACTATGTGTACTCTTTATGAATAGAGTATAGCAATTTGACATCCACATTCATGCTTCTTTATTCTTTAGGAATTTCTAAATTGATTTTAAAGCATACAGGTAGTTATAATTATCATTCTAGAATTTGACCTTTAAGTTTTGCGTCAGAGTGAACATGGAGTCAAATGAAGTAGTGTACACCATAGGAGGCGTGAAGGTTCTGTTCCCATTCAAGGCTTACCCATCACAACTTTCAATGATGAATAAGGTACAGTAAGTTCAGTGGTACTGTATGTACGAGCCCAATCACACTTAATATTTATGTCAGCTCTGGACCAGCCCAGGACCACCCTCTTTAAGCGTAAACAATTTTCCTGGACGTTTTCCCTTTGTTTGGACCTTGAGTCTGTGGACCTGTCCTTTTGCTTCCCTTTTTATCTGTTTGTGAGTTGCAATAAATTAAATAAAGAAATACTTTAAGCCAGCCCAGAGGACGACTAAAATTAGTTGACTCATGTTCCGTAATCCGAGACCTGAGCCGACTCATCTTCATATCTGAACATACACCAAACCAAGGTCGCCTTGATAGTGGTCAATTTTGAAGTCTTATGCCATAATATTTCCTGCAAAACCTGCCGCAAGGAGGAAGTGTGAACGTTCACAGAGTGTGCCTGAGCCAACTTAGAATACTAACCGCAAATGGAATAGTAGTTTTGAGGTAGTTAAGGCGGCCCTGGGCCGATATAATAAGTGTGATTGGGCTATGTCAGTGGATTCAGGTTAAATGTATATTGTACATATTATAATGCCATATTCTTAGAAATTTACTCCTACAGATGATATAATAATATGCCTCACCCAGACCTGCCAAGTGTCCCACAAAAAATGTTTTCCTGTGGTCCTGCCTGCATTTGTAAATTATACAGTAGTCCTGCATTTCTTCACTGTGTAAGCTCATGCATAAGACAAGAGTGAAATAGCTACAAAATTAATACTAATGGAAGACAGTAATTTTGTTTATTTAGTTCATGCCCCTCGCATCTAAAGGTGCCATATTCTTCAACTTTTCTTCTCTCGGCCACAAACATGGTGGATTTGAGTTAGTGTTAGCTTTACCTACTGGTTCATGTAAATGTTCCACATAGGTACATCACATAGTTAATTCTGAAAAGAACTGTTGTAGTTCTTTTCAGAACTATCTATGTGGTGTACCGCAAGCTTCAACATATATGCTATTACTTCGCCATGAAAACCTTCAAACAATACTATGTATTATATTAATCTCTTAATATTTTTAGATTATCAGGGGTGTGCAGAGGGGCCAAAACTGTCTTCTTGAGAGTCCTACAGGTAGTGGCAAGAGTCTAGCTTTGCTATGCTCTGCCATAGCTTGGCAGAGATGTGAAGAAGGTAATATACCCCAGTAATTATTTAATTGTGCATTTTTAGTTTCTATGCATGTAATGCAATAGGAACTATTGTATTCACTATTTTGTGTGTGCGTGTGTGTGGACATTTATGAAAATGCGCAGTCGTCAACAGTTTTCCAGCATTTTGTTTTTCATCGCGACGCGAAGTTTTTCAGTGTTAATAGCATGGTGTTACAGTAGCTCAGTCTGGGCTCACGCTAACCGATCGCCAAGTCGCCATGGGCGAAAACTATGTTGGATTGGCGAAAAAAAATTAACTGCTTTAGGCATTTTGGCGAAGGCCTAAAATAAAAAAAAGTTTTAAATACTTGCTAAAATACACCATTTTTTCATTTGATCTCCATTTTTCGGCAAATCCATGCAACGTTAACTTTGTTGTTGTATGAGTAATCTTGCTGCAGGCGTCATTTCGTGCCTCGCAAGTTATTTTTTATTTCTAATTGTTATTTTAACATGGTAGATGCAGGCAGTGGCTGTATAAGGTAGACTAACATGAAGGTACTGTATTTCCGACAGCCGGCTATGTAGCAGTGTACCCTTTGAATGCAAGCTGAAGGCAAGTGATATAAAGGCAGCCGACCATCGGGTACACAACAAACTTCTAGCTTGTGTTTATCCACTAAAACCTGAGGCCTACGATGCGAGGGCCGTGGTAGAACGTTAACATTAGTTTAATCAATGATCTTGTGTTATCGACTAATATGTAAAATACATTTAAATAATGCATGGAAAATTTAAGTTTGCACCGTGTGGGTCGCCTTGTTATACAGTATACGTAGCAGACTGACGGCAGCAAGGCTAGGCCTAACCTAGGACCTGGGCTAGATCGTGTACGTTCTTGATCATCACTATGAAAACTCATTGGGTCCATAATCAAGCCTGCACAAAGTGCAACCTCCCCCACTCCTTGGGGAGTATTCCAAGTCGTGCCTGTTATTTATTGCCGATACAGACTAACACTCGGAATGCCACATCATCCCACCAGGTACCATGCATTTATACTCCTGGGTGTAGAGAAGAAAATGTAAGTAAAGTCCCTTGCCCGAGGATACAAGCAATGCGATGAGCATCGATCTCGATCTCACGATCAGAAGTCCACACTCCTGATACTGAATTACTAAATATAACTTTGAGTATTTTAGAAACTTTCATATTTAGAAATATGATCTTTAAATATTCATAAAGTAACAAACAGGATGTTCTTGTCTTTTCAGAGAAGCGTAGGATGTCAGGTGTAGGTATGTAACAATCATTTTATCATGTCATCTGCTATCATTAAAACAAATAATAATAATGAAATATCTGCTTTTCCCACAAATATATAAATAAATAGTAAATTGAAGACCAACAGCACTTTACAGACTAATGAATTATATTGGTACATATGATTTTGACCACACAGTGGCATTCCTCAGATGAATATGAACAGATTGTGCGTTTCTTATAGTCAGGCTCCGGGAAAAAAAAACCAATTTTTTGTACGTTGTACAATGTTTTTTTGAAGACACAAAAATGGTGTTTAATAAAAGACAGAATGAGATGCAGATTTTTTAATTTTAAAAATGGGAGTGGGGGAAGGGGCGTAATCACCCTTTTCCTTCCTCCCCCCCCCTTGCAGTTTTTAAGTATTAAAAAATCTCATATCTCATTAACCATTCACGAGTTGTATAACATACCAAACATTGTTTTTCCTCTAGATTCTGGTTTTTAAGTGAGCATGAGTTCTCAGTCATGGGAAAAATCTTGTTTTACTTTAACTTTGATGTGGTGGCTTGAGAATTTTTCTGACCAGGAGTCCGACATGTGTCCGACATCAGAGTCCGAACCAAGGGACTGACTAGAGCCTTGAATAGGGTCTTAGAAAAAAATTCTTGGTTCAGTTAATGGTTTAGTATGGCCCAAACTTGTACTTTTAAACGACAGTATTAGTTATTAGCAATCAAAATATCTTTTTAGATAAGCAAATTAACATTTGTGATCAGTGCTGGTCCCCCTGCCCCCCTCCCACTGTAACCACCACTGCTTGCATCCCATATTCTTTTGACTTTAATCTTACAGATGATATAGAGAAAGTATGCACATGCTCCTGTGGTGACGCTGTTGCAGAGACAAACCCTGGTGCTACAACCAACCATCCACCTGTACTGCCAAAGACACCTGTTGCACCCTTTACACCTGTCCCACTTTCAAGGCCTGTTGACATCCCCAGCAAAGATACTAAAGAAGGTGAGGTTTTTTAATTGATTTTATTTATTGATTATAATTCTTTCCCCCTCCCATGTTGTGGTGGTAGTAGTGTTATGTTGATTTTCAAAACATTTTATACTTTCTTAACTTATTTTCCTTTTCGTTCATTTCCTTCATTTTCTTAAATTTTTAATCTATATTATGTTTACCACATCTGGACCTCTTGGGAGATGTATTGAAAGAGCTTTCCAGAGTAAAGAAACATTTGTTATGTATTGTATTGTATTATGTGTTGAAAAGAGATGTTATGTCAGTATCACTGTTTTTTTCCATTGACAAGAGTAAGACAAGAAAGATTAATATACACCAATTCAAAAACACAAAATATAACAGTTTGATACCAATATGGTAAATATGTAGTTTATGTTGTCTTGGGTTATGTAAGAAACTATTCATTTTACCTATACTATTATTAATTTGAATTATAATGTTTGTGGTTAGATTTACCCCAGCCTCCTGTCAATCCAGAAACATGTGTCCAACCTGACCACAATAATGATGAAGATGATTTTAAACCAAGCAAGAAACGGTATCGTACTCCTGTACCAGGCCAGGTAATATATTACTAATTCATTTTAAAAATTTAATAAAGAAAATTAAGATGTGAGCATTGATTAAAGAGTATAAAGAAAGTCATTGATAAAAAAAAAAGCAACTTATGTTTTCCTTAATTGCTCTTTTTTTTTTTTGCTTGTGCTTTTTAAATGATATTGTTATAGTGACACGTATTTGCGTGTGTATGTACAATATGCTTGTGTGAAGCAGGCTGGTTGCCCCCTTGAACTTACTCTTGAGCATAAAAGGTAAGAAAATAATGGAATTGTTGGGGGCGGTTTGGTGCAGAGGGAACGGTTTGGTTTCAGTCCCTCGCTGTACATTTCGCTTGTGTCCTTGAGTAAGGCACTTTATCTGCGTTACATTTTTTTTTCACCCAAGAGTATAAATGGCATGTGGACCCAATGACCAGGCAAAAGAACTGCACTTTATAACTGCAAGGAATAGGCGCATTATAAATGCCCATACCAGGACCAGTGCCACCCATAAAGCTGGGCACTCACTACGCACGCTGGTTGTCTGCTGGCTTGATTCTATGAAGAACGCAACGCGACGGCTCGCGTGCAACGGATTGTTTTCAATGACGATCCATTCAGACTACTACTAACAATCAGCAGACGACATTGCTTCGTCTATCGTTCACAGGAGGTGGAGGAGGTATGCACTTTATACAGTGACTGCTCTATTAGTTGGATAGGCATCTATCAGTCAAATAATTCTGCCATTGTATGACAAATTTTGAATTCTTTCTCAGAGTAACAAGAGAAGTAAGCTTTCCAAAGGAGTCGAGTTTGATGACGAGGAGATGGAAGATGAAACCCAAGATGAGAGAAGAAACCCCCACACCGAGGCTTACTGGAATTCATGTCAACCGGCTCCTAACACAAGTAAATAACAGCACTTCCGATTGGAATATTTGGAAACTTAGCTTAACATAACTTATCCACAGTTGGTGTGTCTACTGCCCTCTGGGCAGTAGGCGCTTTGTGCTCAGTTTGTCAATCAGCATAAAGTTGACCGTGAAGTCGTACAGTGAGTCGTTGACTTGAAAGAACCCAAGCTAGTGTAGGCCCCCCCCCCCCCGCCACCCCTCGCCGAAATGTTGAATGAGTTAAAAGTAGTAAAAAAAAAACGATACATGCTCCCGCTGTTTTTTTTTTTTTATATATATATTTTTGTTTTTCATGTATTTTTTTTACTTTACACTTTTTAAGTGATTTTTCAAAATGTTTTGTACTTTCAAATCACTTCTCATTATAACAATGAGGAAAAGCCCTATGTTTTGTTTTACAGACAGACATAGTAAGTCTAGTTACTATTATAATCGTTGCTGTAACTGTCATTATTCAAATAATTGTTATTGTCATCATTATGACTTTTGTTATTATTATTGTATTTGTTATAATTTTAAGTACTGTTTTTTTTTTATAGATTCTGTATCATTGCCTCCAAATCCATCATTAACCAAGCAAGGTGACTGCAATTGTTGCTGCCACTCCCCACAGGTGTGTTGTGATGGTAAAAAGGACCAGATGAATGAGAAGCCAAAGAAGTTAGTCCAACCTCTCAGATCATCAAATATTAAATCAAAATCCCATTTTTAAAACACGGAAAACTAAATTATTCATGCATTACATAACAAATCGATCAATTATAAATCTGAATTTCTATTCACTTGATAGTCATTTGGACCCTCATATAAATAAGTCAGTTTTGTGTTCTACCCTATTCAGACTAGACTTTGCATTGCGACCGGTTGCGATGTAATGGGTGGTAGACAGTTGTAATCCAAATTGTTCGCAAACTTCGACAGCATTCAGACACCTTTTTACATTGATACTTTACATCACTAGCAACGATATAGATTGTCCTGTTTTGTTTGACTTAGCCAGTCCGTTGCAATCGGATTCCGTGGTAATCGGGAGTAATAAAGATTGTAGCACCCAATCGCAACAGGTAACAATTGCGAAATTGATTGCTTATCGACTACTAATGGTGAGCTTTCAGACACGATTTTACTTTGTGAATAGGTGCGATTGGGTGTCGCAATTGCTACAACCGATCGCAATGCGAAGCTAGTCTGAATGGGGTATTATACTTTTATATATTTTAGATTGCCTAGGATCTACTTTGGAACCAGGACACACAAGCAAATTGCCCAGATTGTGAAGGAGATGGGACGTACAGCGTACAAAGACACAAAGTGAGTATACACTGACAGATTAACGTACAGTACCTTTATCTAGATTGTGCATACATTGTTGTTGAAATTATTGATATGAAAACACCATCAACAGTTGATTTTGCTGTGGCAAACTCCATCAAGTCAAGAATTTTTGAAACCCATTCTGAGGCAAAAACAACATATCTTCATCCCAGATACATTGTTTTGCCCCGTAATCTTTCAGTTGCATTGTTTTACCACAGAAAATCACTGGATTTTAAGTTTTGTGCTTAAAGATAGGTTGTGCTATCACTGAAACGACACATTGTTAAGACCTGAACTTTTCACAGGTAAATCAGAAGTGTTTAATATACTCCTAAATGATATTATCTCAAAATCTACAAAAATGTCAGCTACTTTGTTTTGTGTCGGAACGGCCGAGGTGTTTCCGTATTCTGAGGGTAAAAATAAAAAGCAAACAAAATTGATGTCTTTGTTGTTAAATAACCTTTGTAGTGGACGGTACCAGATCAAGTTGAGGCAATTTCCATTCAGGCAGGGGTCCCAAGTTAGAAGATTGGATTGGATTGGATTGGATTTATTCGGTGTAAACACCAAGGATAGCCCACGAAAGTCTAGAATAAGACTTATTTCCAGTGGGGTCCTTCTGGTGGTGATTGGGCAGTACACCAGGAGACAATCCCCTACTCTTTTTCCGAAGAGTGTACTGCATTCTTTAACGTGCACATGGGTCATAATGCACACGGGACCAACGGCTTAAAGTCTCATCCGAAAGACGGTGCGCTATTGTAACTTGTATTTCAGCTGAAACACAAGGAGAGGCAGCGATGGGAAATGAACCGGGGACCTAGAGATCTCCACGGTTCAGCGCACACACAACAGCTACCACCAGATTAGCCGACTGAGCTAAGCTGCTCTCCACTTTCAGGAGATCTACATAAATGAACTTACTTAAGCTGTTTATGGTGATACCCATCATCACTGTCTTCTTCGAGACAATTGATAATACTATTATAAAAAATTGTAAGTGTTATAAATATTGTTAATTTGCGGGGGAGATGATTTATTTTCCAAGAGGTTCTTGCTTGCTTGCCGGAGTGCCAGGGAATTTCCTGATAACTTGGAGTCTTCCACAACTTAAGAGAAGACTTGGGACAATTTATTCAGGCCAGCTTGAGTCGGCACCAAATGTTGAGTTTGATTTTGGCTGTTGCTTAGATTTCATAGAGGGTGCTCTTCTCGTTTTCTAACAGTAACTAACCAATGTGCTCTCATTTTATTTCAGCATGACCATATTAGGAAGTCGCGAACATCTGTGCATTCATCCTAGGGTGTCGAAAGGTCCAAACAAGAACGAGGGTTGCAAAGATTTGTTGAAAAGGAAATTTGTACGTATGTAATAATAATACTGGAATATATTATTTACATTGTAATTTATACAAATAAATTTTGAAAACTAAAGGCTGAATAATTTGTCACTTTACTTTCAGTTTTAACATTTTTTTCCACACGATGCCGAAACTAATTTGCACTGTCTTACTTTCATGCCATGTAGTTTTCAAGAGAGACCTTTTATATCTTGTTTAATGCACCCTCTGCCATAAAAATATAAAAATTTCAGAAAATTATTTTTTTAATTTATTTTTATTACGTCCTCCGCCCCCCTAAAAAATAAGATATATATATTCCTTCCTAATTATATAAATTTATAGCATTTAACCATCTCATTACTACACTGTTTACATTCAACAATAAAATGTTATTTTTATGGTTTTGGAAAAATCATTTTGCTAAATAAGAAAAATAACATTTTTTTTTCAATTTTTAAAAACTTTTCCCCCCTTCTCTGACAATTTAAAAAGTTTGGTAATCAAGGTATTAAAAAAGTTTTTCCTAACCATATTATATGTGATATAGCTAATTTAACACTAAAAGTAAATACTCATTGCCATATTTGGTACTGCACAAATTTGGTTAGATATGTAGTCTAATTGTACAAATATATAAACACTAATGATCTATATTGTTGTTGTACTATCATCGTAGCTGGATAAGAAT